AAAGTGGACGAAACAGTAACAAGAAAAGAAAACAGCCCCCGTTGCCTTTATTCCCATGGTTTACAGTTCCGGTTGACGCCAATGATTGTTGCTAATTCAATTAAATGCTTTCGTGAAAGGGGCGGAGGAAAGGGAAGGGGAAAATTCCTGGTATCTTAAAAATGAAAAATGGAAAACGGGGCAGAGGTGTTAAACAGTCTCAAGATGAGGGGTGGGGGAGGGGTATCAGCTTGAATACTCGAGTTCATAGGATACTCGAGAGCGGTCATAAATTATGCTAAGGTGCTTCTGTGGGATGTCATAAGGTGTATCGGGTTTGGGCCAATGGTAGGTAGTAGACCGTGAAATGCTTGGGGAGATGAAGTTCTAGCAGGATGCTGATGATATGGCCTCGAACTATGGTGAGACTTTGATCGTAAGGAGGGATGGCTCATCCCAGTCATAAAATGAGAATGGATTGATTGTATGAGATCAACGGTCGTCCGGATCGGGGTTCGTCAACTACAACATGATCAGTAAGGCAACCCTGTTTTTGTTATCGAAGAAATAAGTACTTACTCGCAACACAGGACGGGAATAGTCCTGGTTATCCTGCAGGGAAACGTTGCTATGACGTCCGCTGTGGGAATAGATCATGGCGTCCTTCTTCATTCGATGGTCGGTAAAGGCGGGGATGCTAAGTCGTGCTGTGCTACCTCTTCTACCTGCAGTGGTACCATTCCCATTAGCAACTGGTGTGGTTCTCATGGCTGGGACGCGGCTGCTCAAAGTACTTTCAAAGATTGGCTGAGGAACTGGTGATTCGTGGAAAGGCGAACGGTATCCATCGCTAATTTTTGTCTGCTGGCTCCGACGGAAGCAGAATAACCATAGCATAATGCCTATAGCGATGCCGAATGCGGCCAAAGTGCCGATGATGATTCCAGCGATTGCGCCGCCGCTCAGTGAAGAGCCACCATCTTTGCCATCTGGAGAGCCAGTTTGACTTGGTCCGTTTGGAACGGTGATGGTAGTAACCCGTCCTGCAACGGTGGTGATCGAGGCAGAAACGGACTCGGTAGTTGTCGATGATGTTGAGGATGTTTTGGTAGACTGCGTATATAACGTTAGCGTGTTTTGATATAGGAAAACGTTATAAGAAAGGGACAGGGTTTCAAAACAGGATGGTGATAACAAAAAAGAAACCCCGTCTCTTTCAGGAAAGAATAATAGCCCTACAGAAGAAGTGGAGGAAGAGGTGGAAGATGATGAAGAAGATGATGACGATGACGAGGAAGTTGTGGTGGACGACTCCGTAGTGGTTCGAGAGATTGAACTTGAAGTCGTCCTACTTGTGGTCTGTTCACTTTGTGTCAAAATCATCTGCGTTGATTGAGGTTGTGTGTCGGTTTCTTGTGATGCTGGGGACTGGGATTGGGGTGCAGAAGAATGAGATTCGCCAGTTGGAGGGCGTGAGGTAAGAGGTATGCTATTACTACTCGAGTGCCGAGTAGGAATAATAACAATGGTGGTGAAGGAGGAATAGAACTGAGTGCTACTAACCGACGAGGTGGTCGTAGTCATAGTCGAGCTACCTATTGTCGTGGTCGGTTTCTTGTCGAGGAGGATATAGGCATACAGGCCTGCCGAGACGCTTCCGCACTTATCGTCGGGGTATCCGGGACAGTTCTGGTTGCAGTCATCGTTCGGCACGGTGTTTCCAGGGGCGGCGTTCGAGCACCAGCAAGTCTTCCCTTGCAAGATGGCGAATGCATAGCTGCTTCCACATGTCTTTTGACATGCTCCGATCGACTGGAAGCCATCGACGACTGTTCGACCACGTCAGCCTTTCAAAACCTTCATCCACGCGTCTCAAGGAGGCTCACCGGAGTCAAAGTTCGATCCCGTATTCAACTTTGCACAGTAGTCGAGGTCTACACCTGCTGATAGAGCTGGATACCAGATGAGGATCGAGATGAGTAGAGATGTCAGGGTGCCATGGAGATTGGAAGCCATTGTCCTGACTCTGAACCGGGAAGCTCCCTTGTTTCTCACAGTGCAAGCTTGCTTATGGCTGGATGAACTGTTAGCAAATGCCTATGTCTATGCTTGAAGCTGGTGATAGTTCCAGAGGCAGGGCTGATGAGAAGAGGAAGAGGGTGTTTTTTGAGAAGAAGCAGAAGAGAGGAAGAAAGGAACCGGTGACAAGAGAGCGTGTGTTCCTGAACAGCTCGGCAGAAGAGGATGGAAGAGGCCGGTAAAGGCTTCATCGCCAGGGGCGATGGATACAAGATGGCGCAGGAAGTAGGGGGTGTAGATATATATGGATGAAGCAACTCACATATACGCACACAACACAGAAGAAGGCCAGGAAGAAGCATCAACTTTTCATAACTTGGACTTCTCCTATATTCACCAAAAAAAAAAAAGAGACAGATTCACACCATATCAGCCCTTGTCCAGCTAGACACTTTCAACAATGAACCAGCTCTTCTTCTTCTTCCCTCCCTAGTATATAAACTTGACGGCAACTTACACCATCTGCGATGTGCTTTATTATTCTCCGGAATAAAAAGTCGAGCAACAAAACGAGAGGGTCGGACCGATCTTCGATCCTATTCAACGTCCATCTGACAGGCGGAGTAAGATGGAGGGCGTAGTTTCGACGGTACGGACGGTTCTGACTCGGGTCTACAGATCGCAGCGCATAACGACGAGGCCACGACGGGGGCGCTGGAAAGATAGGAGACCGCGAGACAGACGCCGATGGAGAGTCCCTCAGGGCCGAACGAGAGGAATTGCAGCAGACCAGGGCGGACCAAGAGGGCCTGGCAACGTCACCTATACGGACGAGCCAACGAGAGAGGCCGGCAGGACGGGGGGGGGAGACGGCCAACGAGCGACAGAACGAGTGACCCGATGAGCAAGAGGACAGGGGGGAAAAAGAGGAGAGCAAAGGGATGAACAGCTCACTCACACGGAGAGAGAGGTAAGACAGAAAGAAAGAAGAGAAAGGTTGGAAGAAGAAGAGAGGGAGAAAAGGAAGAAAAAGACCGGCCTGCAGAAGGTTTGGGGTACTTTTTATCCGCCAAGTGGACTTTCTTTCGTTCTTCCAAGGCACCACATTCTACGTCTCCTTCTCCGACTGCCGCCTCTGCTAAGTATCTGTATGTACCTATGCTTCTACAGGGTGTCTGGACTCTCTGTTGTCTCGGTTTTCATCCTCCAACCTGGTTCAAGGGCCCGTCGACAGGCAAGGGCTGGTGGTCGGCCTCTAGTCGCGAGGACACTGTGACATCCTACACCCCCAACACCGGCGACTGGCCTTGTCGAGCGGATCACCGCAGTCAGAGCATGGCCTCCCTTTGGCCCAACTATACTTGATACACTTGCTATACACCTTACGGAAGCCATGGGAAGGCAAATTGGTCCCTTCGATATAACGATATGACCCGAAGCGCACGGAGCTTAAAAGAGGAACGTCTGGGGAATCCGAAATTAATAGTCAAGGCAGATATTGATTTATATATCTCCATATTATTGACTTAAACCCCCGTTGGACAGAGATTCCCGGTTGGAATTGCTTCCCGGTTCTCTCACTCTTTCTCTCCTTTTTTTATCTTCAACTTCTACCTGACAATCATATAAGAATACAACCCAATGCACATACACATGCTTTGCGTCGGAATTGCTGCGCTAGCTAACCCGACTCGTTTCCAAGGAGACAAGAAGAAGAAAAAAAGGCATGCAATCGTCTAATGAGCATGACGAACATCCAGCACGGGGTCCGCTTCCCCTGTCAGCATGACGCCTGCTAAGCTTCAATGGTTGCTGGCAGAGCACCGCCATATCCACTCAAGGATCGAGATCTTATCGTATTTCCCGCCTTTGCAGGACGGTGCATGAGACATGAATAGAGTACATAGTACGTGCGATACGTAATCACGGCTGCATTCTGCATCTTCAATGTCTTTCAATCGCTTCTCGTCTCTTCCCATCTCAACTGGGCTTTCCGTCTCTCTCTAGTCTTCTACGACTTTCGGCCGTGATGACAACAGCAGGCTCCCGACTCCATCCGTCCGTGTGAAAAGGGGCGGTTCCCACTCTCTTAACTCCGTACTGGAGCGTCAAGGAGAGAAGGCCAAGGGCGTGTTTTTTTTTTCTTGTTGCCAACAAACGAACGCCACCCGGTACCCAGCCGTATCCACAAAAACTCGTGGCAGAGACTTGTCGAGCTCGTACTCTTGCTATATGCACCAGCCACTCTGGTCCCGGAAGACGACCGGGGGGTATATAAATATATACGTTTCCCAGCCGTCTTAATTAATATATATATCGATTCCTTTGCCATATCAAAATCGGTCGGCCATCCCCTGGGAAACTGCGTCTTTTTAACCTCGCAGCACCGGCAAAAGCCATCGAAGTAACCCAAACTTTGCTAAGAAGCCAGGAACAGAAAATCACATCCATTACTGGATCCGCTAACCAAGTATTTGCCCACCCGCTCCAACTTTACTGGGACATCAGGGGCTTTTGAGCAAAAAAGAATGAGCATATCCGCAAAAGAAAGAAAAAAAGAAAACGTCATTTCCCAATTGCTTTTTCATTATCTCTTCTTTTTCCACGGAGGCGAAAAAAAGAAGATTTCACATTATCAGTCCTAGTCAAAATATACACGGCTCTATCATTGGCCCGGTTGCCTGCCTCTCTGCAAATTGCTGGTGCTCGGCAGACAGGCTGCAGGGGTCTTCGGCAGGCTGACCGCTTGTGCCGCGACTTCTTATGAGGCCATAGCAGCACAAATATATATGTTTCTCTCGCCTGATAAGATCCGACTGAAACACGATCCACGATCAACAGTTCACCAAGCCAGAACATGGTTGGCTGGCTGCATGGTCCCCTCGTAGCGGATGGGTTTTTATGCGCTGGACGACCCCTCTTGCCGCACTCCCAGACGTTTCAGGTTCGCCTCTTCCCATTCGTTGCTCCCTCCCAAGACCAGATATGTTTCTTGATGTTTCTTCGAACCGCGGGAGGCTATCCGCATTCCTGGACCTCACCCAAGACCGCAATTTCTGATTATATAACCATACCTGGTCATTAGCACACCTGGATGGATGGAAGTGTTTCAATCTAGAAGCTCAACACACGGTAGAAGAGCCGCATATATAACGGAAATACTGGTGATTCTGAAGATGGTGATGCTAAAACTTTTCTCTGCAAGATTAAGAAAGCTTTTTAAACATACGTTAGTATAAGCAACCTACTGGCTACGATCGCGCCTAGATCGGTAGATCCGTCGGAATCAACTTCTAAAGGGGAGTTTATCATCCCCTTAAATCGTTCCTCAGCCCACTCCATTGTAGAACCTTTCCAACCCTCACACGAACAGAAAGAAGGAACAGGCTCGGCATTAGAACTGAATTATTGTAGCATCGAAACGTCGTTCGACCATCTTGAGACCACGGAAACCGACGAAAGGTACTTTTGTGTACCGTACAACTGTGTACACGTGAGGATATATCGTATTGTCCACATTAATTATCTACCAACACTCAAATATTAAGTAGAGATGAAGTCACTAATAACCTCTTTAAATGCAAAATTTAACTTGCCAAACTGGCGATGAAGAGTAGGACAGCAGTAGGAATATTGATAGTCTCCGGAGATACCTTGTCCAGGCCCGGAAAATACCTATAGAGACATTGCCACGAAAACTCGCCTCGAAGCCCTTATCATCGTCAGAATTATTCCCCAGGGCAAATGGTAGAATGTGAGCAACCTCAGGATATGCTACACAGCCTTGGTCACTTTGTGGGTGTGATGTCCTTTTCTTCTACTGATACGACGTCCTAGCCGGTCACTTGGCATCGATAGCCATCCCTCTTTGAGACAGTCGTTTTTTAACCTAGATTGTTCATCGCGAGGTGAGGAATTCATTGAAGTTTTGATAAGAGCGCCGACTTGTACTCAGGTGCCAGAGCATGGAGATTGAGCAGCTGCAGGAGTCTTTGCACCAGATGCTTTAACTGAAGACTGGAGTTAACTACGTTGATATGACTTCAAGGAAACAGATATGCTCACCTGGCTTTAAAATCGCGTCAACTAGATGGTGGCTTAGTTGACGAAGCTGGTCATCGTCAAGGCCAATAATGTCCTGCATCAGTGTGATGGAGCCATCTTCCGGGAGATGGTTGATGAATATGTTGAGATAACGGACAACCTCATCGCCTCCATCTATGGCCACATATCTCGCAAGGCGTTCTCCAGATCTACGTCCAGGGTCTTCTTCGGCCCCTTCGGGAGACGCGCTTGTCAGCTCGCTAGCTGCTTCGAACGGGACTTGTCAGCGAGAGGCCAGGTTTGGGCTCCATGCTCCAAAGTATAGACTACAGATCAGCTCATTAGAAAGAAGAGCTCGAGTCGGCCATAAAGGCGAGCCCACGCTGAGTGGCAGCAGACAGGCTGGTTCACCGGCCCCTTATGGCGGCGCAGGATAATAGCTAGTA